AAGAAAGATATTGAGACTTTAGTTTCAGCCAATCAGAGCGAAGCGCACGTGCATGCGCGTGAGATCTTGCTATTTTGACCATGCCATCTTGTCTATACTACTAATGTATTCTTACATTATGAGTTTCAAAAAAATTCATCAAGAAAAAGAAAAGTTACAGCAATATCCATTATATTGGTCATTTCACGTGTTGCACGTGCGCGCTCTTGCAAGCACGTGCGCGCAAAATGACCTTCGTTCGGCAAATCTACATAACATGTCTACTGACCCTAAAAACATTTCACCTTAGTCGGATGTGTAGTTTACAAGATCATTCGTGGACAAAATTTTCCCAGGAAGAAGAAAAATAATAATAATAATAATAACTAGATGAAACTCGTTGCGAGCAACGAGAGGTCTTCCGTCCGATTCCGGAAAGAAAACGTAAAATCGTGCTGAAAATGTAAAAAAAGATTTGCACACAAGGGAATTGAACCCAAGTCGCCAGCACAAAATTTCAACGCACTAAATATTACACTATAGGGACATCTACACTAAATCTACTTGTACATATTTACGAAGCAGTGCCTCTCTCTTAAAATTATGAAAGGCAGGTCACTATTCAAAATTTAGCGCCAAACGCCACGAGTTAATCTTCGCGCTTTTTCTTTGGAATGTTCTATTAAATAGGTGTGTTAGCTTCAATGAAATTAAAAAAAAAAGAACGTTCTCATAGCTTAAGATTCCAGATTTAGAAAGTATATTTAACACATTTTAAAGTGTCCATATTGTATATATGCTTGTAACACTAAAGCGGTGAAACGGTTATGATGTTTTTTTCAATTTCCTGTTTATCCCCAAACTGAACTATCCCGATTAGTTAATTGAAAAAGGTTGAAACGTTTCGCCGGAAAACATGGCTCGCCCTTTGATGGTCAAGGAATCAGAAATCATTTATGCTCAATAACTTGAATCAGATCTTTGAAACAAGAATGCTAAAATAAACTCCATGAAGCGATCTTAAAAGAAAAAAATCGTTTTCTTATTTTTGTCTTATTTATAGTTTAATATGACACAAGTGTGTATAGGAAAAACAGTGGTGAAAATTTATACTGACAATATTAATTGATATTCTTTTTTGAGAAAGTATTACTTATATGTTTTTCCGTGATGCACAAAAGATATAAGGTATCGAATTTCATTTGCGCATTGTGCGCAATCGTCTTTTGTTTTTCTGCTTTGAAAACCAGCCAAAACCAATTATAGAAGACGTTAGTTTGACACAGAACTGCAACGAAACTACGACGTGACAATCCAAGTATTCCTTTACATTTCATTTATTCTTATGTTACTTTCGTTCAAGCAAACGCTCAACTGCCTCCGTAAACCACTATTGCGAAATGTCGGCGTTGACAGAGACAGCCGCCATTTTGGACCCGCTTCAGATTTTTGAATGCTAATATCTAGAGTTTAGATTTATCACCATTCAAACAAATTAAATAGTAAGCATTATACGGAGGGCTTCTACTACCATACCAAATATAAATGAAAAATACTGAAAAACAAAAAAGTTAGAAAATACGAATTTTTTAAGTTTGCAATTCGTAACGACCGGAAGTACTGACGACGCACGAAAAGGCAATTCTGCAAACCACAAAGTCATGATCTATCATCTCCAATAAGTCTCCAGTTTATATCCTTAGCCATTTTTGATAAAAAGGGGCGACAAAATTGCATTTTAAAATCAGGAAATTTTCCATAACTTGGCACTAGAAGCGAATTTTCAAAATTTCTCTTCGGATGTAACAACTTCATATAATGACACATATTTTGTGAAAGTTTCATGAAAAACCGCTGAATAATTTTCGAGAAATCGCCTGCACAAAATTTTGTCAAAAAAAAGAATAATAATAATAATAATAAGAATAATAATAAGAAACAGTAGAATCACTATAAGGTCTTCCGTGAAGACGGAAGACCTTAATAATAATAATAATAAGAAACAGAGTAAAAACAATATGTTCCCCAACTTCGTTTGGGGAACATAACTAGAGATTCATTGTATTTCAAGATCTTTGAAACATGCATTTTACTGCCAAGCAAGACAAGATTTGGGAGAATTTTAACAAAAAAAGTCAAAAAGAGGTGTTCTTATAGAATGTTGTTTGATTATTCTCGCATGTTTACCCAGAATTCTTGCCATGCAGATTTGGACTCTTTCAAACTTTTAACAGAAATAGTCCACTCAAGAAATGTCTCTTAGATGGCTTTGAAAAAAAAATCTTAATTCAATCCAAGTAATATACTACAGAATCGATCAGAATCTTTAACATCGTTTTTTCTAAATGCATTGGCTCAAAAGGTGTCTGCAAATTTGTTTTTGGTTTTATGCAGATAACATGCTCACAGTAGCACTACAGCTATAGCACCTAGGTTAAGGAAGGGGAATTTCACAGGAAATACATCTTAAAATATTGCGTAAAAATCAATACAATATTGATATTATTTTTTTAATCAGCATGAGCTTTTATTTAATGTGAATTCTACTATTGCATATGCATGCATGGGGTCTCTGCCAAGTTCGGCCAAAGCGACTTCACTTACATCAGCTGTTTGTTATGTGACACGTTTAAAATTAGAAAAAAAATGTACAACTACAAAGATCGTAAAAGTTCAAGGATATACGAATAGTTGTTTACAATGAAATTGATTGTGTTTTGTTTAGGGCAAACTCCTTAACCCGAAAAGTGCTGGGAGCAACTTCCTCATGCCCGGAAATAATATAAAATTAAGCCGTCTTTTGATAAACTTTGTACATTAAGATTATACCCATTGAAATAATGTAAAATTACGAAAAAAAAACCCAGCGCACAACTTGCTCCCAGCACTTTTCAAAATAGCAGAGACAATTATATAGCTACAAATGTATAAAAAATCATAATTTATAGTTAAGCTGATATCGTTGAAGTTTTGAGATTTTCGAGGGGTCGTGTCTGTGATTTTAGTACATTTATGTATACATGTGCATTACTGCGGCTTAATATGAGACACAGTCGCTTTTAATTCAGTAAGACTGGAAAATATTGATTAATACATTCAAAATTAAGACTCGATTTTAGTCAAATCAGGCTTATTTAATTTTTAATTTTATATTATAGCTTGATCTACGTCTCAGGCACAGGGTAACTGCGTGTCAAATGAGTCTATTACGTCATCTCAGTAAGTACAGCGATATCAAGGTGGTTTTAATTCTTCATTCAAATAGTGTTATAATGACAAGATAAGTTACACATTGATTTATATTTACAATATTTATGAGAAATGACTGTATTTAAGATTGTTTGAAAAAGAAAATTAGCATTTATTCGCCGAGATTCTGTCATTGCACAGTTTTACTGTGACGTCATAATCGAATTCTCGAAGCCTGTATAAGCTGAGGTACCTACGGGAGTCCTTAACCTAGCTGCGATTGTAATGGTATATGTAATGGAATTGAAAGATTTCATAACAACTATGTTTAATAATTAAAGGAATCACAAACCCTTATAAAGTGACTTCTATAAAGGGGTAATTGAGCTTACAAACACCAATATTGTTCGTAAATAGCATGAAAAAGTTATAGAATTGCAGAATACTAAATAGCATGAAAAAGTTATAGAATTGCAGAATACCAAAAAACCTTAAAAATCATCATTGAGTCCAACCCCCCCCCCCCCCTCCACCCCCTCTTATTACTGACACACATATAAAGAAAATACATGAAATATGACTATAATATTATTTAAGTAAAACATTTTTTAAAATGAATTTTGAGGATTCTTCAAGATTGATTGACAGTAACAAAGATGGCGACAACGAAATCATAATTACAAAACTAATTACTGCTCTGCAGTTTTGTCCATGACTTTTGCACGTGTGCTTTGAGACAAACATTAGCAACAGATATTCATCCCCTCTTATAAACGAAACAATTTACTCATGATCATAGGAATAAACTTTTTAAGTAATTTGGAGAGAAAGTACTTGAAGCTCTCCTATCGTACACCTGAGTAAAAAATATTGTCATTGCGAGAAAATCTTCCACTGCTTCAGGCAAAATAATTTCTAAACCATATTTTAAACAGAAGTACATGTATATAACAACGTCTAGGTAATGTAGACGTAGTAAATCCTGTTGTAGGTAAATTTTAATTTAATTAAGTTAAATACTGGTTTAAAACTTATATCCTCTAGCATAAAGAGCTTATGTTTATTAATTTTTCTAACACAAACAATAATGTCAAAACAATTTAAAGAATTAAGTTCCGAAACCGAATTGATTTGGAAACCAGAAGTCTCTGATGAGACTGTAGCTCTGCTGGTCTGTATGTATACCATGGTGGTTAGCGTGTTAGTCTCAAAGCAGTATGATACGTCGAATTTTTATTGCTAGGATCCCTCGAATACCATCTTATATGTTTATAAAAGAAAAATTTTTAACGAGATTTTTATCCTCTCAGAAAAGTTTTTACCCCTCATATTTCATAAATTTCAATAATTAGAAGTTAATTTAAATACTCAATTCACATACTGAATATGATTTCTTAATATCCTACGCTATTGGCATTCTGCCCGCCTTGTTCCCCCATCTTCTTTTCTTGTGTGCCAGATTATGTTGAAATCAGACAAAAATTGTAGGAGGAGTAGAATTTTAAAGGAATTCACATAAATTTCTATTTTTAGTAACTATTGCAACACCGTTTAAAGAAATCAAAAACCGATGCAAGAAATCTTAGTGCAATCTACTTGTGTGCCAAGTTTTATTGAAATCAGACCAAAACTGTAGGAGGAGTAGCATTTTGAAAAAATTGTTTACAGACAGATGGACAGCTAGATAGAAAGACAGACAAACGACGGACACCATACTATCACATAAGCTCTTCTGGTCTCTGACCAGTAGAGCTTAAAATTATATAAAGTTCTATACATTGAACTTAATTCTCTTTTTATAGAAAAAAAGATATTTTTCCAAAGTAATAAAACTATCCACCACATCCACCACCACATCCGCCTCCACCGCATCCACCACCTCCACCACATCCACCGCCACCACATCCACCACCGCCACCACATCCACCTCCTCCACCACATCCTCCTCCACCACCACATCCGGCTCCTCCACCTCCACCACATCCTCCTCCACCACCACAGCCTCCGCAACCACCACAGCCTCCGCAGCCACCACCTCCATCACCTGCACCACCACCAAAATCGCCACCACCACCAAAATCACCTCCATCTGAATCAATAACACATTGCCCTTGCTCAAATCCTACACCAGTATTATCAGAAACGATGCCCCCAGAACCACAACCGGCACATACATTAGCACCATATGTATGATACATGTAGTGATTTGAGGGTGTTAGATATAGAAGACCGGCTGCTAGCATGAATGACATATCTTCATCTGGAAATCTTTCAATTTTTCGTCTTCCTCTTGATGTTACTTTTGGTTTTAGAGACATTCCAGGTTTCCAGTCGGAAGGACGAGGCACACATAATACGTGTAGAAGAGCAATGGAAAATGACAGGGCAACATAGTTCAGAACTTGTCCTGCAGCTATCCTGCTGCAAGTTATTAAGCCTTTAGTGAAATCTAACTTAAGTCCCTCAAACTCTACTGGTTGGTATTGTGAAAGATTTATTACTTGCTTTTGGAGAGGACCTTTATGATCCACTCTAAAAACTTTTACTTGCAGATGCCCTGGATTACCCTTAACTCCTCTTTTGCCTGAAAATAAAAAAGAATTTTGGTCACACTGAATTTATCAAACACACTTCTCTCTCTCTCTTTCTCTCTCTCTCTCTCTCACCACGGCTTCCAGGAATCCCCTTGATAAATCCGTCCCACTTCCCCACAAGAATCAGGGAATCTCCCTCTTCAGTTTTGATAACAATCGCTCTTTCACCAGAACCTGGGTCCAACCAAATACTTTCCGGTCCTACCTGCATGATATTTGATTAAGAAAATTCCGATTTTTTCTGAATTAATATAACGGTACAATATACAGTTTACCGATAATAATAATATAAAAAATGTACGTCTGTGTAGCATGATTTTTAAAAATGGAATTAATTATATTCATTGTTAAAGCACAAAAAGCTTGACTCGTTTCATCTTCATGATAAGATTTCCAAATTAATTTAAGTTTACCTGTGTTCCTAATGGAAGTTGATCAGAACCGATAACATGCGCAACTGCAGCCATTTTGTCATGATAGAACACATGAACAACTGATGTCATAACGCGTACACTGTGTATTAATCGACAAGTAAACATAATGTTTCCATTCTGGTCTCTTAACCTATAAAAAGAATAATGCTATAATTCAAATTGAATACAATAGATATATTCAAAAGTGAAATTATTAGTAAACACACAATATCAGATAGACTCCATTACCAGTGCATATCAGTACCTGATTATATTCTCTATTCGCGTCTTTAACCCGGGCACACGTACCTCTTGTATTTTCAGGGGTCTATATTTTGCCTTTTTCATGATTTGTTTACTAGATTCATGAGTTTGTTTTGTTTATATTTTACACTTGAAGGATAAATAACACAAACAAACATTTTTCAGAAATCAGCAAATAATTCTCCAAGGTTAATATTTAAATTGGTAACCTTAATAATGTTTATCAAGAATAGTGGGGGAATTGTATAAGATTTTATCATAAGGTTAAAAATTTAGGCAAAATTGTGTATGGAATTATATGGAAAGCAAAACAAAGTCATTATATCTAAGCACCAAGGAA